CATCCAGGACACAGCAGCCCATTTGATTGGCACTACATCCACAAGCAACCACTCCATCTACGACTGACCCTCAGTAGCAGCAGTGTGTACTATCTACAAGATGCACTGCAGAAATTCGCCAAAGATCTTCAGACACACTTTCCAAACCTTTGACCACTTCCATCTAGAAGGACAAGGGCAGCAGATATATGGGAACATCACTATCTGCACGTTCCCCTCCAAGCCATTCACCATCCTGACTTGGAAATATATCGCGCTTCCTTCTGTTGCTGGGTCAAAATCCTGGAATTCCCTAATGGCTTTGTGCATCAACCTACAGCTGGTGGACGGGCTGCAGCAGTTCAAGAATGCAGCTCACCACCACCTTCTCAACGGCAACAAGGGATGGGTAAGAAATGCTGGCCAGCCAGCGACGCCCACATCTCACAAATGAATAGAAAAAAAAACTTGCCTACCACTGGTGTCAGGCTCACTGGGCTGTAGTTCTCTGGCTTGTCTTTGCTACCTTTCTTAAACAATGGAACAACATTAGCCAACTTCCAGTCTCCTGGAACTTCACCAATGGCTAAAGATGAAGCAAAAATCTCTGCAAGGGCCTCTGCAATTTCTTCCCCAGCCTCCCACACCGTCTGAGGATGGACTTGATCGGGCCTTAAGGCTGCAAACACCTCCTTTCTGGTAATGTGTATGCGGTCCAAACCATCCCCACTTATTTCCCTAGCATCCGTGCTTCTCTCCTCAGTAAATACCTTGGTGAAATATTCATTAAAAATCTCCCCATCTCCTGTGGCTCCACACATAGACAGCCATGCTGATCTTTAAGGGGACCTATTCTCTCCCTTGCCACCTTTTACTCTTAATATAGCTATAGAACCTCTTGGGATTATCTTTAACCTTATCTGCCAGATCCACCTCATACCCTCTTTTAGCTGTTCTGATTTCCCTCTTAAGTGTGCTCCTACACTTCTTATAGTCTTCTAGGGATTAACTTGAGCCTGATACATTGGGTTTAAGCTATGTTTTCTTCTTTTTCCTCACCAGAGCCTCAATATCCCTCGTCAGCCAGGAATCCCTAAACCTGCCAGCTTTTCCCTTCACCCTAACGGGGACGCTTTTAAAAGCCTCCCATTTGCCAGTTGTTCCTTTTCCTGCAAATAGCCTGACACCCAGTTTTCCGCTGCTAAGTCTTGCCTAATGGCCCCAGAATTGGCCCTGCTCCAGTTTAGCACCTTAACCTGTGGACCTGTTCTATCTTTTTCAATAACTGTGTTAAAACTAAGAGAGTTAAGGTCACTGGACCCGAAGTGCTCTCCGACTGACACTTCAGTCGCTCGCCCGACCTCTCTTTTTCCTGACAGGAGGTCCAATGTTGCACCCTCCCAAGTAGGGACCTCTACATATTGATTTAGGAAACTTTCTTGCACATATTTGACAAATTCCACCCTGTCCAAGCCTTCCACACTCTGTGTGGCCCAGTCAATACAGGGGAAATTAAAATCAGTATATAACACTGTCAGTGTATAAGACTGTGGTACAGTACTGATGGAGACAGGCCTCATTGTATATCACTGCAGTACGATACTGGTGGGGCAGGTCTCACCGTATAATGCTGAGGCGCGGTGCCGGTGCTGATAGGTCTGTGGCTGTGTAACACTGAGGTACAGTGCTGGTGGGGACAGGCCTGTCAATGTATAACAGTTGGGTACAGTACTGGTGCTGACAGGTCTGTGACTGTAGAACACTGGGGTACAATACTGGTGGAGACAGGTCTCACTGTATAACATTGGGGTACAGTACTGGTGGGGACAGGTCTGTCACTGTAACACTGGTGCACTGTACTTTTGGGGCAAATCTGTCACTGTATAACACTGTGCTCAGATCCTGTCCGTTCTGTGTTAGGGTCTGAAATCACAAGGTTATAGTCCAACAGGTTTATTTGAAAACGCAAGCTTTTGGAACCTCGCTCCTTCTTCAGGTGTTAGTGAGAGAGGTGGAATCAGACACAGAATTTATAAGTAAAAGATCAAAAGGTCACACCACTGATGAGATGCTGTTAAATCTTTAATCAGTTAGAAGGTTTAAATTGATTAGTAGGTATATGTAAATCCCCACATTTCTTTCAAGTCACTATCCTGAGAGAACTAAAGGTTTTATATGTGTAAAGAAGAGGTGACATATTTGGTCAGACAATGCATGTAAGGTGTGAGGCCTTGTTTAGAATCTGCTTGTGTTTTGGTTTGGAGTCAGGCTGGTTTTATTTCTAAAGTAGGAATTTATAAAACACCACATTAACTGACTGTCTGTAAATTGTATGCTTTTTGAACAAAATAGAATGTATCTGCAGATACAAATTGACCCCATAGATTTACGTGTGTGAGAGAGAGGGAGTGAGAGTGTCTGTGTGTGTGTGTGTGGTCGTTCTGACCTGTATTCAGACACCGACCATTTTGTCCTGCTCTCAGGCACTGACAGTATTGTCTTGAGCTCAGACACTGATGCTTCTGTCTGACTGTTTTGTCCTATGTTCAGATAGTTATGATTCAGTCCTGCACTCAGACATTTACCGTTTTGTCCTGCGTTCAGAAACTGATGGTCCTGTCCTACACTCAGATGCTGATGGTCCTGTCCTGCGCCTGGTTACGAGGATCACAAATATTTAATGCGCTTGGTGATCAACTAGTTTCACAGGCGAAGTGTTTTTTGTTAATGTGTGAATGTTCTGTGGTTATATTACAGACTGTAGATCTCCCTCTCTCCCAGATGGTTACATCCTTTATCATTGCTGTTTCTGCAATGTGCAACTGTGGGTTTTTGTATAGATACCATTGTAAATCTCTCCTTTTCATAGACTCAGAAGGTCAACAATCAGTAAAATATTTGGAGGTCTGTGCACCGAAACAAACTAGATGACAGGTGGTGAGATTTGTACAGAATAAAAATCTGGATTGTAAAGTTAACCTAATGTTGATTGTTGATTGTTGTAAAAACCTATCTGGTTCAGTGATGTCCTTTAGGAAAGGAAATCTACCATTCTTATCCAGTCTGGCCTACACGGGGAACAACAGACTCATAGCAATGTGGTTGATTCTTAACTACTTCTGAAATTGCCTAGCAAACCACTCAGTTCAAGGGCAATAAGGGATGGGCAACAAATGCTGACCTTACCGGCAATGCCAATGATCCCATGATGAATGTAAAAACAAAATTCAGAGATCCAGAAATGTTGCTAAGTAACATCACATGGTTTGTTTGGGGTAATGCAATGTAGGAGGCAGTTAATGGTCCCTGAAATAGCACTTTGCTGCTTCATTATTTCTCTGACAATTTTTTTTTTCAGTGCCCATGAGCTCAGAATGATAGGATGGAAGGAGGGGGGCTCCCCCAGCTGCCAGACACTGTTCTCCTTGAGGTCTTCCTGAAGCTGGAACATCAAGACGTCCTTGCAGCTGGCACTACATGCAGACAGTGGTACGGAGTGTCCCGTGATGAATTTCTCTGGAAGGACCTCTTTTATCGTTACTACAATGTGAATCGCTCAGTGCCTCGCCACCCAGGTTTGTCTGTTGGCTTTCTGGATCTGCTGGACAGTTTGCGTTCGTAAGTGTGTCATAAGTTGTTGAACACTTTCCCTCAGAACCAGAGTAGGGACCGATCAGTGTTTCTTGAGACTCCGCCATTCAATATGGCAACAACTGATCTTTGACTTCTGAGGCAGTATATTCTCGTAAAAAGGCCAAACCTGAGCAAAGTCCTCCAGGTATGGTCTCAATAAGGCCTTGCAGAATTGCAGCAGCCTTCCTAACTTCACTCCTTGCACTCAGGGCTAGCATGCTTTTGCTATCCTTGCTGCATGTAGCTTCCTGAAGCGTTCACTGTCCAAACAGCTGAAATGAAAGCTCTAGGAGCATAGATTACAGGAGGAGCTCAGATGGCTGTATGATTTTTCAATGTTTTAATTTCAAATCAATCTGTGAACAAAGTTTAGATGTATCCTCCATTTCTGTGGTGCATGTTTGAGGAGACCCAAATGTCAAATTTAATAGTTTTGTATCTTTGAAAAAATATTCTGCCTTTCCATTCCTCTTGATAAAGTTGTGGATTTTACACCTCCTCCACTTTGGCCTCCATCTCTCACCTTCCTGTCCAATCATTTAACTTGTTTATATGCCTCTGTAGTCTCCAGCTCATTTTCATAGAATCATAGAATCCTTAAGTATGGAAAGAGGCCACTTGGCACATAGAGTCTGCACGGACCCTCTGAACAGTGTCTTTCCCAGACCTGGCCTCCCCATAACCCCGTATTCCTCTAACGCCGCATTTCCCATGGCTAATCCACCCAACCTGCACATCCCTGGACACTACAGGGCAATTCAGCACGGACAATTTAGCACAGCCAATCCACATAACCTGCACAACTTTAGACTGTGGGAGGAAACCAGAGCACCTGGCACTTAACCCACGCAGACACTTGGAGAACATGCAAACTCCACACAGACGTTCACCCAAGGCTGGAATCGAACTGGGTCCCTGGTGCTGTGAGGCAGCAGTGCTAACCACTGAGCCATCATGCTGCCCTCAGTTTTCTGATTGAGATATGTATAACGTTTTTGAGAAGATTTGTAGCTTGGTTTGTGGATGAGCCTGTACCATACCCACAACCAATAAAATTAACGTAATATACAAAATACCATGCAAGGACTGTGAAAAGCGTTACATAGGCCAAAGTGGAAGAAAACTGACAATAAAGATACACGAACACGAACACCAACTGGCCACCAAGAGACACGACCAATTCTCACTCGTCTCATACACACAGACAAAGAAGGACATGAATTTGACTGGGATAACACATCCATAATAGCACAAGCCAAACAGAGACACGCCAAGGAATTCCTGGAGGCCTGGCATTCCAACCAGAACTCCATGAACAAACACATCAAACTGGACCCGATATACAAACCACTGAAAAACAGAACTGGAAGTGATGCCAATCACTACAGCAAACCGAAGCATATAATTAACAAGTGGGACAGAACACCAATGCTTCACCGGAGGCGCACTGACAATGTTACCTAGCGGGGTGACGAAATGTCTGCATTGAAACACACCGGCTCAGTGAGCAAGTCTACAACCTGAGATGTGTGTAGTCGGCAAACTTAGATGCCCTATACTCAGACATGCACTGTTCTGTAAACTGTACATTATTATTAGGAGCTCAGCCATTTAATTGTTTTGAATAAACCTGCTGTCTGTGGTAGTGCCAAAGTAGACAGACAAAGCTCCAAGATTGGTTGGAGGCAAGAATTAGTCAAACAAATGTTTAGTCAAACAAACTAATGCGAGTATTGAAAATAGGAAATGAGGTAGAAAGAGGAAATGTTGAGAAAAGCTGTTGCAGACAACAGGCAATAAATGATCCAAGACAGAGTGAAAGGAGCAGGAAATAAGTATGGTTGCTGCTTTAGGAGATCCACAGCTTACGTGGAAAGACAACGTCAAACCCCACCTCCTCACCCACAGTGACCAGACAAGACTACTGTTTTTCATCACTTTTATTCAAGCATATACAAGACATAGGTTCCCTCAATCATTTACACTGTGTTGCCATTATGCATGTCTGATAGTTATCGTTCATTTGCATCTGCCGATCCCAAATTAGCATGGGTCATGGTTATCCAATCAGCTACAATTGAATTAATTCTTAATCAAAAAAAATACAGTTTCAGTCATGTACATGTAACAAAGGAATGAACAACATTCCTGCATTTGCCAAAAAAATCCACCTGCTTAGCTCTACAAAGAAAAAAATTCTTTGCTGTCAGCTGCATTCTTGTCTCAACCTGATGTTTGAATCGTCATTTCTGCCTCATTATCTTATCCCCCTTGTCATTTCCCTCTTTTGGCCCTTGGTAAGTATATTATAAATAATAGAGGTCCTAGTATTGATCTTTGCAGAACATCACTGGTTACAGATATCCAGTCAGAAAAACATCCCTCCATACTACGCTCTGTCTTCGATGACCAAGCCAACTTTGTATCTAATTTGCCAACGCACCATGGATCCCATGTGACTATACACCTGGAATAGCATACCATGAGGGACGTTGTCAAATGCTTTAGTGAAGTCCACGTGGACAATATCCATTGCCCTATCCTCCTCAGTCATCTTCATTACTTCCTCAAAAAACTCAATCAAGTTTGTGGGTCAAGACCTCCCAAACCGCTCTATAGTTTCCTAGATTATCCCTGTTACCCTTCTTAAATAAAGAAACAATATTCGGTATTCATCAGTCTTTTGGGACCTTACCTGTAGGGTATGCAGGGTAGTTTGATCGTAGAATAGGATAATAGGTCATTACAACATCGTGGGCCAAAGGGCCTGTACTGTTCTATGTTCTATGTTCTCACGTGGCTAAAGAGAATACAAAGATCTCAGTCAAGGCCCAGGAGTCTCATCCCTTGCCTCCTTCAGTATCCTGGGATAGATCTCATCAGGTACTAGGGATTTATCTACCTTAATGTTTTCAAAGACACCAAACATCCTTCGCAATATGGACATGCCTCATAACATCAACATATCCCTCTATATATCATAAACACATTCATGTCCCTTTCCTTGGTGAATACCGATGCAAAGTACTCATTAAGGACCTCACCCACTTCCTCCAGCTCCACGCATAAATTCCCTCCTTTATCCTTGTGTGGACCTACCCTTTCCCTCGCTACCCTCTTGCTCCTAATATATATATAAGTTGCCTTGGGATTTTCCTTAAGCCTACTTGCCCAATGACATTTCATGGCTGCTTCTGGCCCTCCTAATTTCTTATTTAAGTTCATTTCTGCTTTGTTTATTCTCTTCAAGGCCCTTGTTTGATTTCACTTTCCTAAACCTTACATATGCTTCCTTTTTCTTTTTGACTAACCTTTCAAATCTCTTGTCATCCAAGATTCCCGAATCTTGCCATCCTTAACTTTCATCCTCACAGGAACGTGCCAGTCCTAAACTCTGATCAACTGGCCTATAAAAGACTCCCACATGTCAGATGTGGATTTACCCTCAAACAGCTGTCCCCAATCTAATTTCTCCCATTCCTGCCTAATACTGATGTAATTAGCCTTCCCCTAATTTAGCTCTTTCATGCGAGGACCAGTCTTTTCATTGTCCATAACATGTTAAAACTTACAGCGCTATGATCAGTGTTCCCAAAATATTCCCCCACTGAAACTTTGACCACTTGGTCAGGCTCATGCTTCAAAATAAGGTCTAGTACAGCCCCTGGACTGTCTACATATTATCTCAAGAAACCATCCTTGATGCACCTAACAAATTCTGCCCATCTATGCCCCTGGCACTAAGGGAGTCCGAGTTAATACTGGGGAAGTTAGAATCACCTACTAGAACAAGTCCTGTTGCTTTTACATCTCTCCATGATTTTCCCACTGGGTATTAGGAGGCTTGTAGTATTACCCCATCATAGTGAGTGCACCTTTCTTATTCCTGAGTTCTACCCATATTGCCTCACTGGATGAGCCCTGCAAGATGTCTCTCTTAGTACAGCTGTGACATTCTCTTTAATCAGTAATGGAACTTCCCCACCCCTTTTACATCCTTCCAAATCACCAGATACATCTAAGCTCCGGAACATTGAGGTGCCAGTCCTGTCCTTCTCTCAACCACGTTTCTGCAATGGCTATTGCATCGTAGTCCCATGTACTAATCCAGGCTCTAAACTCATCTGCCTTGCTTGTTATACATCTTGCACTAAATTACATACACTTCAGACTGCTACACCTGCCATGTTCGTTAACTTGGCCCTGCCTGTTCTTGCTATTAGGCTTACTTGACATAACATCGACTTATCTCCTCAATCACTCCACATGCTGATCTACTGCTCTGTTTGCCAATCCCCTGCCACAGTAGTTTAAACCTTCCCAAGTGGCACCAGCAGACCTCCCTGCAATGATATTGGTGCCCCTCCGGTTTAGGTGCAAACCTTCCTTCTACTACAGGTCCCACCTGCCGCTGAAGAGATCTCAATGATTCAGATATCTGAAGCCCTCCCTCCTACTCCAGGTCTTTAGCCACGCATTCAACTGTGTTACCTTATGTACTGTAACCCTTGGCCACCCAGGAGGTGTAATTATTTAATTTTTAAATATTCCATGAGTTTGGGGCAGAGTTAGCACTTCTGAACAACCCACTAGTATTGCCAATCAGGCTTCTCCTTCCTGTATATTTAGACTTCTGGCCGACCCTAATTTCCAGAGCAATTCTGAGCTTAGAATCTGTAATAATTTTTACAATTTGTTGTCTTACCCATTGTATAGCAGTTTGTGATTGTGACATATTACTTAGGGGCGGCACGGTGGCTCAGTGGTTAGCACTGCTGCCTCACAGCGCCGGGGACCCGGGTTCGATTCCACCCTCAAGCGACTGTCTGTGTGGAGTTTGCCCATTCTCCCTGTGTCTGTTTGGGTTTCCTCCCACAATCTAAAGATGTGCAGGCTAGGTGGATTGGCCATGCTAAATTGCCTGTAGTGTTCAGGGATGTAT